CTCTCTCTCTCTCTCTCTCTCTCTCTCTCTCTCTCTCTCTCTCTCTCTCTCTCTCTCTCTGGCTTCTCTTTTTCTTTCTCTCTCTTTCTTTTTCTCTTTCTCTCTCTCTTTATAATATATCAAATTACCCGTAGAATTTTATCCTGTATTCTGTTGCAAATTATAGGTCGTCTAAAATGGACTTAAGCCGCTCCGGTATTCCTCTTTCGATACGCTCACTCTTTCCGTGGGGAAGAAAGCACCTGTGTTACCCGAGGTATAACCCGGCTATTACTGGGGAATGTTGCCCGAAGGCTAACCCTGGCCCTCGCGTAATAATCCATCGGGACTATAGGGCCCATATTCCTCTGGAGATATTCTTCGCAGTCACGGAGAGAGCACAATCTCCCTTTTCTTCATCTCGCTTGGATCCGATCGAGTCCGCATCCTGGATTTAAGTTTTATTCTCTTTTATTTCAGACTTTCGTCTGCCCTAGTACGGACGTTTGCTTGAAAGATAGAGGTGTTTCAAAAATTTTTGAAGTCAACTCGATTTTTTTAACAATATTCTTTAGTATAAATCGATTCTTCTCATTATTCTGTTTATATTCGAATATTATTTAAATATCTACCTTGATATATTATACATATATATATATATTTCAATAAATTTTGATTTTATCAATATTAAAGAAATATATATTGATATATTACATGTTACAATTAATTTTCTGTCTAATGTTCTTGTAACGTATTTAATATTAAAAATTGATTAGTCTAGAATATACTAAATCGTTATTCGTTTATATATGATAACAAAGGTTTTAAGATTTGCCTTGCTATTTGTTCTTGATGCGAGAATCTGTGTTTCTTAATAAATGCATGTCGCACTTCATAAAGTATCGGAAAAGTCCGAAAAGAGCATGTGGCGCAATAAGAAAAGTTCAACAAACAAGCCTTCTCTTATGAACCCACCTATTTCCCAGAAAGAAATACTCCTTTTTTTTCTCGTTTAGTATGGATCAGCAATGCGCCATAACCATAAGTACACTCGTAATCACCCCTGGTTGCCTTGATCATCGGAGGAAGAGGGAGAGATCTGAGCTGCTCTTTTCTATCTTCGCACTCTCGTTAGCTATCTTCGACAGACTTGGTCTCTGTTCAAATCATTTCTCTGAACTTACTATCAAAGATTAGAGATTTCTTGCGAGGAATTTCGCAAATGTATGGCCTCAATTTTACACTTAGGACATCTCCTTCTTTATAAAGAACAAATCGTAAATATTACGAGAGTTGAAAGAAAGGAAAGAAAAGAGAAGAAATAGGACAAAACAAACAAAAATTAGATAATAAATAGGGGAAAAAGAGAGACTAGTTATAAGATTTCTTGAGAATAGATAAAAGAATTTTTCTTAAAGTTTAAGAGATAGCCTAATGAAAACAGAAAGAAAAAAATATTGCGGAAAGAATGAAAAAAAAATAAGAAAGCATATTTCTTTTCTAACAAAATCAAAGGGTTCGCTGATGGGTTCGGCGGAGGTGTTGCTCATGAGATTCGTTGGAGTAGGATGTGACATACAGTGTGGGATACGTGAAGGATACGAGAAGGAGATACGGGAGGGAGAATACGTTGAGGCCCTGTTGTGACGCGCAGCTTTAACCTCGCCGCGATATATATCCCTTGAACCTGCGCTGGAGCGTATTTTCTGCTTCGTCTCCCCTCCGCTAGCTAGAACGGACCTTTTCGCCCCTCTTCCACCACGTCGTGTGCCAACGATCCCTGTCCTCGGCGTCCTCCTTCCACATTCCTCTACGCAGAGCCGTACGTTGCGCCGGAGATGCTCGACTGGGAGATGGAATACGAGAGGCCTTATACAAATCATCGGGCTACCGTCTTACCCGAGGCCCCGTTCTCTTTTTTTTCCTGCTTCCCCTTTCCGCCCGTTTTTCTCTTTCTACTCTATCTGGCCGCTTCCTTTCTTTAGCGCTCGTCATTCCCTTCGTCTTTATACTCCGGCAACTTATTATCTCTCTCATTTATCACATACCTCTCTATCTATTTATCTATTTCTGTATTTATCTATTCCTTTTGCATGTACATAACACATTGTACATAATGTTCTCTCACTCAATTATTTATTTGTACATTCAAATCTTTCACAATTAAAATTTATCATAAATTGATTGATCCAAACAGAAAATATCTAATAGCTCCTAACTTTTTTTATTGTTTCTCTTATTATTATTAAATACTCGCTGTAAGTTGAGTCATCAAATTACAGAAAATGTAAATTTGCGATAAAGGTGAACATTCTTAGAGCATGTTCGACTAAGTAAAATTTCTCAACTCAATGAATAAATAATTGGAATATATTTTTTTAACAGAAATTTTTCAGCGAAATAAACTTATTGTACAATAATTGTACAATAATTTCAAATATAATATTTCAAAAGATACAGATAAATTTCAGCTATACAACTATACAATTTCATCAATGGAGAAAAATGGAAGGTGATAAGAAGAAAATAGAGAAAAAAAATAGAAATCGTAAAATGAAAGAAAGACGAAACAGAAAAAGATGAACTGTAGAAAGAATTTCCTTCTAAGGTTAAAACGCATTTGAAGAAATGGGAAGCAAAAGTTGGTCTAGATCGCTTTTAGCAAGACCCACCGCGAATCGCATAAGCCATAACGCGCATACAGGGAGTGTGAGCTGCCTTTCTTCTTATACTTGTTTTTCAGGTGCATTTTTTCTTGTCATGCTATGGCTCGCGCGTCTCAAGACCTGCCAACTCAACCGAGTCCGATGATGGTGCTCTGCTGGAATGTAGAAGGGATGGGTGAGGTGGGATCTCGTAGGGCTCTTTGAGGACCGGGGGAGGCTTTATCCAGTGGTGGGGGCCACCAGTCGGACCGGCTTGTCACGATTGGTGAGGGTAGCGATGAACGTGAGCCGTATGGTATGCAGAAAAACCTGACGATTAGTCAAGAGACTTGGACATCTCGCTAGTTTAATGTTTTCTCTGTTTATGTCACTTTCTTCGTCATAGAAAATAAATCTATAATGTAAAACGAAACTGTCTATTTTTTCGAATAGCCATTTCGATGTACATTCTTAAATTCTTGTTTTTATATTTTTATATTTTGTACTTTAAATTATAATCAAGAAAGAAAATTAATTTATTGAAGCTATATTTTATTCTTAAGGAAGCAATTCTGATCAACTTAATTTTAACATACTATTAAGATCTTCTCAAGAATTTTAAAGATATCCATATTACGTTATTAATGAAAAAAAATAAAAATCAATTTTTCTTTAAATAAAATTGCACAATTTCTTACATGAATAAATTCCCTTAATAATTCTATATAAATATTAATCAAAATATTAAATATTAATATAAATAACAGTATTTATTTGTAAAAATATGAATTTTATCGGTTTGAAATTTCTCTTCATTACTTTATCTATAATGAAAATGAAAATACACAAATACGACTCACCGGACAATATAGCCAAACCAAAAAGTTCGCAATCTCGCATGCCCTGTTGGCTGAGAAGTGTGCATGTCTGCGTATAAACCTCCTTTACTCTCGACTTAGCCTGAAATAGTAAAACGGACTAATTAGCATTAAAATTAGCATTAAAATTTCCGGAAATAATTTCTAAATATTTTTCAATTAGTTACTTTTTTGTTAAGTGACACTCGTTCTCGAGGACATCATTAGATATTTCATATTATCTTATTTATAAAAAATGAGAAAAAATAATAAATAAATTCTACATTTTATTTAAAAATGTATATATACAATGTTATTTCCAAATTTTTTACATTTGAAATCTTTAAATTCAATACAATTACTTTCCAAAAAACAAAAAAAGTGTTATTTTTTTATTCGTACTCATTGTCAGTTGTAATGAAATTTTATTTTATATTTTTCCCACAATAATAGATATATTGGTAATATCACACTTTTATTTGTTCGTAATTAATATTTGCCTCACCTCAACGATGAAGTAGAGAGGATCACCGGGAAGGGCATGAATGGCGAGATAGCGGCTGGCGGACACCAGGGGTTGAAGGCAAGACCGCGCAGCCGTGACACCGCTACCACGCATGCTGCATGCTTCATGTCGTCGCCGCTACGCCCACCGTCCTCACTGTCAACAATCGGTAAATTGTCAATGAACAATCAATAGTGTCATTTGAAAAATTCGCATTAATCCTTAATGCGATCCTTAATTCTTAATCTATCCTTAATGAAAGAATTCAAGATCAAAATATAATCATTATTTTATGTTTCTTTTGATAATCTCACAATTTTTGTACAAAACTTATTTTCAAACGTAGAAAAAAAAAAACTTTAGTGTAAAAGTCGGTCCCTTAAATGTTTTATTGAAGATTATAATAAATATATATATACTATGAATCATGAAGACAATCCCAATTCCATTGACAATCGGAATTCATTGAAACACAACAAAGAAAGAATAAGTCGGACGTGTTTATCTAATCTCTGACTATTATAATTACTACGAGACTCTGAGAGGCTGAAACTTTAGCTAAGTAATGCACACGTGAGCAGCATAACTTATAGCCGAAATTTTCAATCTCAACTGTAATAGTAAGTTTCTTTTTCTTACAACGATTGTGAATTAGTGCATGTTAACATGGTATATATCATATTATATTTTATTAGGATATGTTAATGAAGTTCAAATAACATGCAGTGATTGAATTTTAAGTGCTGAAAACGTAATCAATTGAAATTCATTGCTGTTTAAATTGCTGTATGATAAATAGTAGTATAGTAGTACAGTAAATCTTTAAATTTTGTCACTGCAAACCAGACGTATTTGTCGATGGACCTCGCAATGGAAAATTAATTTTAGTAACTGATGAAAATCATTGAAAAGCAATTGAGATTTTCACCATACACAGCCTTTATGGGTGATGAATGTCATTTCATTTTCAGTATTAAAAATCCGCATTGTTTGAACTTTAACATCATATCCTCATCGATGTCATGATTCATTCCGTTATAAGGAAAAGAAACTTGCTACAATTGAAAGTCTATAAATCTGCATATTACTAATCAATCGTCCCTTGTATTTCAAGTTAGGGCTTCTACAGACGAGAAATTTTGTAGCGCCACAATCGACACGCTGTGCCGATCCGTTTATACGCTATATTCATACAGTTATATTCTGTAACGCTACAGAAGTGAACATATTCGCGACACTTTTCTCCGTAGCTCCGTATAAACGGGTTGGCGTTTTCAATTATGGGGCTATAAAGTTGCTCATCTAGAAGCCCTTATTGAAGACGATTGGTTCGTTATAATTAGTCTCAAAATATTAATTTTATATAAAATGTCCTGAATATTCTCGAATAAAGAGTACGATGGTCTCTCTCACAACTTGAACTTGTTATTGCAGAAATTATACTATACATTCATATGATCTGTTTACTGTTCGTTCGAGAGTATTCATATATAAACATTCTTTCCCTGAAAATATCTGATATTTTATATTTCTATATATAATACATTTCTATATATTCTATTCCATATAAATATTCTATATATAATAAATTTTCATTATTAAATATTTTGTCATTAAGAGAAAAATAAATTAAAAAAGAAAAGATAGAAATTCGGGCAAATATTTTGAAGAAGTAATATGTACATTAAGTATTATTGTACAAAAAAATAGGAAATAATTATAAAATGACTGTATATTTATCCAATTTCTATATCGAATAATAAGATTTTAAAGAAATAAATTAAAATAAGCCAATGCAAGTCGACATTGAAGATGGTAATGTGTAAAAAAAAAACGTATGTTATTATAATAATTAATAATTACGTTTCTAGAGGGAATTATTATATCTCGAATTCTCTCTTCTTACTAAATTATGACTTTATCTTGTGTTTATGATACTAATAGTTATAAATACATTTACTGACTCACTTGTCCTGGCGAGCTTTATTAGTTAAAAACTCTTCGAAATAAGCGTTTTATCACATTGAGAAAAATATAGTTAATTTTAATAAATATTTAGTTCAATACTGCCAACTAAACATTTACTTACAGTAAGTAAATACTTGTTCAATAAAAAAAAAGATCCTATGATTGAAATCAAATTAACATTGTTATCAAATAAATATATCTTTATATTTAATAAATATTTAATTAGCAGTATTCAACTAAATATTTATTAAAATTGACTATTTTTTTTCAGTGCAGATATGCGTACGTTCTATATTTAACAACTCATAGGATCTTAGATTATAATATAAGTAGAATATAGTTTGTAAATTAAATTGAAATCTACCATTTAATAAATTTTAATTTTTAGTTTTAATATCATTATCGAAGTACATATTCTGTCAAATATAATAGACAATTACAAAGCGTCTCGTTTATATTATATAGAAATTTAATGTAATGCTCATTAAAATTGTTACTATTTATTTGTCACATTGGAAATGTCTATAATTAATTATTATTAATAATACACAAGTTTTATACATTACCAGACTTACATTGACTTGCATTATTGACTTATTTTAATTTGTGTATTCTTTGATAATGAGACATATAGATTAGATCACGTCAGAGATTATAAATATGCTGTACGTGCTTACGATACGTACATATTACACGTAACGACAAGTATTATACATTGATAAGAAACACATATCCCAGACAGCATTTGTTAGATCTTCTCTTAAAAATGAAGTAAAATGAATAATTATTTTTAGAATAGAATGAGTTATTCAAGAGCAAAACCATGTCGTATTCGTTTTTCGTTTTTATTAATTGGTAATATAGTGGATAGAATTGTGACAACATCATGGCTACATTAACTGCAGCGGATTATGCAGTGATCGGTGCATTAATTCTAATCAGTTCCGGCATCGGTGTATATTATTGGCTCATCGGTGGTCGACAGAAGTCGACTGAGGTAATTAAATCATTTTTTTTATGTTACGCATTGCATTTTCATATTTTATAACACATGATATTGCACTATGCTTTGATAACTTTCAACTTTAATTTTTCGTCTGATTTATATTATTAATATAATATTAATATTTTCTCAGTAAAAATATCTAGACATTAAAATAAAAATAGATGAAGTATAATAGCTCTTCTTGAATGTGCTTCTGTAGGAATATTTTATGGCCAACAAATCAATGCGAATGATCCCAGTAGCGATAGGTTTGATGGTTTCATATTTATCAGCAGTCAGTCTACTTGGAGTGAGCTCTGAAAATTACGTGTACGGTACACAGTACGCTGTGATCAACATCTCTTATGGCCTTGCCACACCGTTCGCAGCTTATTTTTATTTACCGGTATTTTTTAAACTAGGCACTGCAAGCACTTTCGAGGTAAAAAACATTAATATCATTATGCAAAATTCAAGAATAATTATTATGTTAAAAATAATCTTTAGTAATTACAAATATCTAATTATATTTAAAATATTTTTATTTCATATCAGTTGTTTGGTCTAATAAAATATTTGATTGATGTTCTTTATTATTAGCTTAAATTCTATAAAAAAGTACGTTTATGTATATAAATAAAATTTTAAAACACACACACACACACACACACACACACACACACACACACACACACACACACACACACACACACACATATATATATATTGTTAGCAAAAAATTATTTCTTGAACTAAAAAAAAATAAAAACATGTTTATATTTTTTATTTTATATTTTTTTTAAATTAACATAACTATAATTAATAAATTGATAATTTTGAAAATAGCACTAGTATTAGTATTGCTTTAAAATTTTGTTGATCAAAATTGATCTAATACAACTACATAAATATCTGTTGTAGTATCTACAGAAGCGTTTCGGTACGACTACCCGATTAATAGCCAGTTTTGCCTTTTTGCTCCAATTGCTTCTGTACAGTGGTGTGGTGTTATATGCACCTGCATTGGCTTTAGAAGCTACCACCGGTCTTTCAACGACCGCAAGTGTGATTGGTTTAGGACTCATCTGCACTTTCTATTCGACGATCGGAGGCATCAAGGCAGTACTTATCACCGACGTTTTTCAGGGTCTGTTAATGCTGACTGCCGTTGTCACAGTTATTGCTACCGCAGCAGTTGCTACTGGTGGTTTAAACCGAATTTGGCAGATTGCCGGAGAAGGATCCCGATTGGAATTCAACAAGTAATGATCTGAATGATATAAAAGTTCCTCAAAAAATGTCATTGTATTTTTTTCTAAACCGTTCATATTGTATTTCTATAAATTTTTGTTATTAGACATATATCTTTATAGGAATCCTACATAATTTTACTTAATATCTTTGTGGGAATATATATCCTACATAATTTCATTTAAAATGAGTGAATCATGAATTCCTCAATTTTGTTTTTTTTTTATTGCAAAAGAATGTTTTTATGATAGAAAAAATTAAAAATTATCGCCCCCGCCTATATTGAATTTTTATTTTATTTTTTTATTCTATTAAAAAATATAGTCGTAAGAGAATAATTGCGTTTAAAAAGAAACAAAATTCGGCTAAAGTGTGTTTGAAATTTCATAATTTTCTAATTAAACTAAAAATTGAAAAACTTTTGTTGAATAATTGAAAGTAACATATTCATTAATTGAATAAAATAAATAAAATAAAGCACAACGCAAGCACAGGAGACATTTATTTATTTTAATTTTTTACGTATGCCATAGCATCTCTCCGGATCCAACTGTACGATATACTTGGTGGAGTTTGATACTTGGTGGTTTCTTTACTTATCTTTCCTTGTATAGCGTTAATCAAGTTCAGGTTCAAAGAATGCTGACTATCAGGTAAAGCAAGATTGACATAATTTCCAATCAAATGCGAATTAATCGAGTCCAAAAATATTACATGTAAAGTATAAAATTTTTTAAGAGAATTCTTCTTTTCATATTTTTATAAATTTAAGAACATGAAAATTAGCTCACTTAAAATCTGATATTTAAATATACAAAGTATATCTTGTA